TATATTAGAACCATTTCTACAGAGTATTTTATGGTCTATACTTGCCGGTGCATTTTTATTTCCATTTAAATATCGTTTTACTTCAATAGCACGATATCATTTACGTCAATTTGATATGAATTCATATTTTTTATTTTATGGTTTAATTATTATTTTACCAATACAAATATTTGACAAAACTATTGAATCTATCTGTTCTTTATGTATTCGAAAATGGAAACAATTAATATTAATTATTATATTTTTACCTTCTATTGAATTTCTTCAATCAGGTGTTATTTATCATTGTATAACAACAATAGGATATGATTATTTTATTATATTCGAAAGATATATTCATATTTTTAATTCACTATGGATAAAATCATTTGTTATAATTTATATATTTGCTGTTTTAATTTTTTATAATAGTTCATCACTAATAAAATATATTCTCAATATATTTTCCATACCTATTTGGTTTATTTTATTTATCTATCTTTCACAATATCTTCCAGTTAATTATCGATTGATAGTTCTGACACTTGCAGTAATTCTGATAGGAATTGGTTTTGTTATTGAACAAAATTTTATTGGTAAGTTTCGTTCTAGTAAAAAACTACTCAAACTAATAGATAAAATTATGAACTATGATAAAAATATTTTACTGATATCTCTTCTAATTTGTTTATAAATTTTGTATAATTTATCCACATGAGTCCTATTAATTTATTAATATTACGAGTAGTTCTTTGTATAGATAAATGATGTACAAGAATTTATATAAATAATATCAAAATACTTTTAGAATCTCAAAGTTCAAAAGTCGATCAATATCGAAAATCAATATTCAGTAATTTAATCAATGTATTTCGACGTATTCGAATTTATTTTCATATTAAATCTTCATCATCTTCATCAACATTCTACTTTACATTTATACTTTGGACTTTAGTAGCTATTAAAGTTTATCAATTCTATCAGTATCTTATACCAATTTCAATTTTTATAATTATTTATAAATTTATTAAATATATTCTACTCTATACATATTCTTATTTAAGTCGACAAAAATGTATAGAATATATTATTCATTTTTGGAAAATTAGGTTAGAAATATCTTTTCTTTGTAAATTGTCTTTTTTTTGTCTTATTCCTTTGATTAGACGTGATGTTTTAACACCACCATTATTACGAAGTCTTATTCGACTTCTTATAAAAGGTGATAAAAAAATCAATCATGTTTTACAAGAATCAATTGATTATCTTGTTAGTGCAATCATAATTGGTATATTATTTGTTATTATTCTTTTTGGTAGTATAATACTTGTTATGCAGGTATTCTATTTAATCTTTCAATTTTATCTATTTTTTGCATTTTATTGACATTTTAGATTCATGATGAAAGTATACATATGATTAAATTAACAAGTAATCTTGTTAATGAAACAATTGTGCTACAATATATGTTACCTGATAAAGAACATATGAGTCATTTAATAGATAAAACTCTTAATAAATTGTATGTTTTTGGAAGAAATTGGATTACTATACAGGTTAGAAAAATCGAAAGAAAGAAATACTTTTATATCGCTTATCATTGATAGATTGCAAAAGTTCAACCACCTCGTGTTGAAATAAAATGTTGTCTTCCATTAAGTGTTATTACAAATGAATCAATCTATATAAATGTATTAAATCAAAATAGTTTATCAAATAAACAACTTGAAGAACAAATATTACAATTATGGGATTATCTTTATACATATATAACAAATACATCAATATTATTTATTAGATATAAAAATTCTAATAAAATATTATATTCATCATCAAATCAAAATTTTCATTTATTAAATTTTTTAATATATATACAAAAAAATTTTAATTTACATATCAATGATTTTTATCATTTAATATTTGATAATCTTGATTTATTACATTCAATTTGGTTAAATATTACAATTATTTTAACATTAATTTCAACAATTATTTCATTATTATTTACGAGTAGTTTTGTTTTATTAAATTTTTTTATTTCATTTATTGTTTTTATTACTTTATTATTCTATCTTCTATCATATTCAGATCAACTTGTATATCAACCAACAATATGGCTTAATAATATATTATCAATAGGTAATTCAAGTTTAGGTAAAACAATTAATGATGTTATTACAAGTGTATTTATTGCTTCATTAAAAATTGCAACTTTTTATGGACTTTATACATATGTATTACATACTTTACTTGGTTCAAATTTTGTTTTTTTACCTACTGTTATTGCATCAATATGTGCTGTTACTTTACAATCATATTGGGCAGCATTACCTGGTTGTTTTGATTTATGGTTTGTACAACAACGTCCATTAAGTGCATTTATATTATTATTTGCACAAATTGTACCCATTTATATTGTTGATACAGCTATTTATAGTGAAGTTAAAGGTGGAGGACATCAGGTAAAATTATTTT